CCAAACCATTTACATAGTGACATGGCATCCAAATAGTTTTGCAGCATATAGCGTGCACCTCCGGTAAAGGATGAAGGTAATATGACACGTTGGCCGACATTCGAGATATCAGTCGTTCCTTGAGCTTTTTGGTTACGTAAATTTTCATAAGAATCACATCTAAGAACATGTTGTTGCCTACGTATGTAGTACATTCTCTCCGTTTCCATCATAGTATAGGCATCTACCAGAAATTGTTGAAACAACCTTCTTGAATTAAGTATGAGAGAGAACGAATGATCTCTGTCTTGAATCCTATAAGCGAAATATTCTCTCATTGTACATTTCGCACGCTTGCTGTTGGTCGTAAATGACACACCTCTATGAAGAATGTCAACACTATAACCATCATCCCCATATGGAAATAGCAATGGATATTGGAGAGGAAGGTACGAAGGATGCAATTCACTGATACGTTGTAGACAACCATTTTTTGTTTGAACGACGATATCCCTCTTTTCGATTGAATCCGAAATGTCACCAATTATTAAAGCAGCAACCTCAGAAGCAGTCGGTAGGTTATATGTTCTTCCATCTTGCTCCCTTCTCCCGATAAGTCGTAATTTCATATCAACTTCTGGATTTTTTTGAAAAGTATCTCTTACCATTCTATAAGATCTAACCAAGACATTATTTGAATCCAACATCACCTTAATATCTTTAACAATATCACTATCAGTTGATGTTGATTGATCTTTTCACCACTAAAATAAATAAATTTATACATAATATTAGTAATATATACATAATATATATATATATATATATATATATATATATATATATATATATAATAATAGATTATGAATAAGAAGTTTGAGAAAATACCGAAAACATCTTTGTCTATTTGTAATTTCGTTGTCAGTGTCATAAATGTATAACTGAGAGAATTTTGGTTCCGATCCTTTTGCTGGCAAAAGACTTCCAATACTATGATAATTTTGACCACCCAATCTGAAAATGTAAGGAGCGTTTCCTCTATTGATTGAAGAGTCAATTTTACCACCCATCGACGTGAAAGAAAACATTGAATTGTAACGTCGAATGTTTTTCATGAAGTGTTTGCTTTTTGAATCCATATTTCGAAACATTCTTTCATAAGTAGGGGGTGCATTCTTTAAGTCTGGAAGTTGAACTTTGCCGTAACCACAACATAATGAATAATCCGTGTTCCCATTTTCTTTACCTCTAATGGATTCATTTCTCCATAACTTTGCACGACATGTTTGACATACAACATCTTGATCACCATGATCCAAATATTCTGTAAAATAAAAGCGTTGAATAAAATATCAATGAATTTTATAATTATATAGAACATAGTATCTGAAATGTAAAATGGATTTTATTTTTTCATTACCATTTGAGATACCAACTATACGATTTTCATTGTTCACTTGATGTATATTTTCTACATCTTCTGTCAAATCAATCAATGGGATAGGGGATAAATGTCTTGTCTTCGTTTTTAATTTATGACATCCTGGATTTAACTTGATTGATGATGAAGAAGTTGTTACTGTAGATGCATTTTTTGATGTCATATCATTTGAAAGTACATGGTACTGTCTTTTCTTTGCTAACTTGGAAGTGATATATTTATCGAAACCAATGTTATCTGAATAAAATAAAAATAAAATAGTTAACTAAATAAATAAATATTTACATAATGGATAATAGTATATTTTAAAAACCATAAATAATTACCATTCGTAATGTTAGATAACGGATTTATAACATTTGTAATGTTAGAAAATGGAGTTCTAACATCTGTAAAGGAAGGACAGTATTGTATGGTTGTGTTATGCTTTGCAGGTGTTGTAAATGAATTGACATTTTGAGTTTGACGAACAATGTTGGTTGATTGATCTGCAAATAGAAATAACTTATAAAACTTGTAAATATATGTATTCAACTATATAACAGTAAAAGATGGAATATAAAATACTAATACGGTTATAGTTAATGGTTTTTTTGAAGAGATTGTAATGATATACTTGGAACGTTTGGTATTGTTTTTATTTTCTTCGATCTTTTATTTTCCAAATATATTTTTCTTTGTCTTCTTTTCTCTTTGGCCTGCATGTGGTACATGTTACTGTTGTTTTCTGCATAAGAAGACATAGGTTAGGAAATGAAATGTGAAATTATGTACATAATATGTTTATATAATACAATTGAAGTTAGTTAGAATTAAATAAATAATGATAATAAAGTAAATGTATTTAAAAAGTTACCTTTATTAATTTGTTTATTAAAATGTTAGCATCATGACTCATCATCCTCATTTCCAACCTAGGGTTTATTCGATTTAAATCTACTGTTTCCCCAATTTCAACCAATCGTGGGTTCGGATGATATCAGGGGTTAAAACCCTAGATCTCCATGGAATCAATGAAGGTAAAATTGTGTGATACACGATAATCGTGATGATTATAAATTGCTTATTGATCTTATGTATCTATTCAAGATTATATTTTTACAATTAGAAAAACATCTATTCCAGCATATTGATTATTGTTGTAAATTTCAACCATAAATTCATAGAGAAAACAAAGTGATCTAAACTGATAATACTAACCTGACATATGGATATGGAAATCTTGCAGGTAGAACTGGAATGAGGATTACAACTTTAACGAAGCAGTTTGATGTAAGCTTAATGAAAAAAAAATCGCAGAAACAATTGAACATTAAGAAGACGAATGAGGTGTTTCAAAATTTTGGATTTCACGTTTTGAGTTAAAGTTATATGCTTGAATATTGGAAAAAGATTACGATTATATGATTTTATTGTTGTTGGATCTTTATTAGATATAATTTTCTTCCTGATTTTTTGGAATTTAAAAGATTACAACTAAAAATTAGTTTAATATTCAAATTTCATCTAAAAAAGGAGTATAGAATATTAGGAAATAGTTGGTTGAATATAGGTTATTTACAGAAGATAAGTAAATATGCTGCAACCATTACAAAAATGTATGAATTAATTTTAGAGAATCAAAGATATAAATTTTGTTTACAATTGGTTATTGATTATTTATTAAAAATAACATATTTATCGTGACAAAAATAATAGTTATTCTAAATAATAGACATAAATGTTCCATGTTTAAAATAATCAACATAAAGATGCGAAGGTGATTATGGTTAATATTCATTATTGGAGTCAAATGCAGTTCACGTGTAAAAGCAAAAATGTTCGCATTTGGTAATACAATCAAAATTGGGTTTCGCATATGAGGTTGTATGGATTGGGGTTAAAGATGCGAAGGTGATTATGGTTAATATTCATTTCGTATTTGGTGAGACAAACAACTCAAATGCGAATGAACTAAAAAAAAATGACTGGAACATGCGAAGAAAGAGGGTGAATGAAGAATGTGAATTTTACAGTAGAATGCGAATTGGGGAAGAAAGCTAAGAATTTCGCATTTTTATTATACAAATTGATTGATTGATTGATTTGTCTTAATTGTTAATTGCGATATATGAAATACTTATCAAGTTAGGGGCAATATGGTCATTTTGAAGTAAAAGAAGCCTTGGTTATTAAATGAATCATACGAAGGATCTGTTATTTGATTTTGGAATTGGGGCGAATAATCGAACCATTTGGAGTTGCGAATTTGATTTTGAAAAGCCAATCAGTTGGGTTCGCATATAAAACAGATAAGTTTTGATTTTGGATTAGCAATTGGGTTAATTGGTTTATTGATTGAGGGACGATTCGTGAAGAAAAATGCGAAGTCAAGAAGGACTGTGAAATGTGATTTGTTCAATATTGGAGTCAAATGCAGTTCACGTGTAAAAGCAAAAATGTTCGCATTTGGTAATACAAATCAAAATTGGGTTTCGCATATGAGGTTGTATGGATTGGGGTTAAAGATACGAAGGTGATTATGGTTAATATTCATTTCGTATTTGGTGAGACAAACAACTCAAATGCGAATGAACTAAAAAAAAATGACTGGAACATGCGAAGAAAGAGGGTGAATGAAGAATGTGAATTTTACAGTAGAATGCGAATTGGGGAAGAAAGCTAAGAATTTCGCATTTTTATTATACAAATTGATTGATTGATTGATTTGTCTTAATTGTTAATTGCGATATATGAAATACTTATCAAGTTAGGGGCAATATGGTCATTTTGAAGTAAAAGAAGCCTTGGTTATTAAATGAATCATACGAAGGATCTGTTATTTGATTTTGGAATTGGGGCGAATAATCGAACGATTTGGAGTTGCGAATTTGATTTTGAAAAGCCAATCAGTTGGGTTCGCATATGAAAACAGATAAGTTTTGATTTTGGATTAGCAATTGGGTTAATTGGGTTATTGATTGAGGGACGATTCGTGAAGAAAAATGCGAAGTCAAGAAGGACTGTGAAATGTGATTTGTTCAATATTGGAGTCAAATGCAGTTCACGTGTAAAAGCAAAAATGTTCGCATTTGGTAATACAAATCAAAATTGGGTTTCGCATATGAGGTTGTATGGATTGGGGTTAAAGATGCGAAGGTGATTATGGTTAATATTCATTTCGCATTTGGTGAGACAAACAACTCAAATGCAATGAACTAAAAAAAAATGACTGGAACATGCGAAGAAAGAGGGTGAATGAAGAATGTGAATTTTACAGTAGAATGCGAATTGGGGAAGAAAGCTAAGAATTTCGCATTTTTATTATACAAATTGATTGATTGATTGATTTGTCTTAATTGTTAATTGCGATATATGAAATACTTATCAAGTTAGGGGCAATATATTTTATTTGAGTTATAACCAAAATCAACTAACTTGTCCAATTTAAAACAATAAAAGTATCCAAAAATATTCAAAACCAATAATATTTGACATCCTAAATACCCCAAAATAAAAATCATACCAAGCAATTAAAATATCTTTATAACCAAAACAAATGATCAAAATATATTAAATGTGTCTTATAACCGATAGACACTCACTTTTCAATTTTTGGAATCAAGAGTGGAGTTTCCTCTGCGGTTGACTTTCTTTTAGCCTTAGTTGAACTTAAATCATATCCAGAATCAACATCATAAATTTCTTGGAGGTTGCGCTTCAAATCACCTGATATTTTGCAAGGACTTGTTGCGGTTGACTTATCAACTGTTGAGGGTGTAAAACTTTCGTCTGTTTGTGAGATCACATCCTAATTTTAAAAAAAAAATGTTTGATTCCTAAAAAAAATAACTAATATAATTAAAAGTTTATAAAATAAAATGAAAAACCTTTTGAACAGGCTGTACAACATCATCGGATTCCAAAGCAACTTGATTTAAGGCGACAGATTGATTACTCTAAAAAATAAAATGGAAATATGTTAATCGTTATGTACTTTAACATTAAAGAATTGTAAATTTTCAACAATAAAAAATTACATACCATAAGTTCTATTTTACTTTCCAATTCACAAACAATGGACATATCTTTGTAACTCTGAGAACTGTGTAGATGTTATTATAGTTGTTGACATTGTATTCTGTAATATCTACAACAAAACCAAACTTGCGGTTTTTCAACACATTAAGTTGCATTGGAAATAGGGCATCACTGTCTCCGGCCTGTAAGATATATTTTAATAAATTAAAAAAATTAAGTAAATGTTTTCTGATTTTAAAGGTATGAATAATATACCGCATCATGTATCTTTTTCAACTCGTAGGCACTTATATTTAACAACCTCCTTGCTTCCCTATCAAAAAGAGTCAATCCAATGTAGGCCTGTCAAATCGGGTCGTCGTGTCGTGTTTTTGTCTGACACGACACGACACGACAATTTTTTTTGTAACACGAACACGACACGACACGATGTCGTGTTTTTTCTCACTAACACGAAAACGAACCAATTAAAAAAACGACAACACGACACGACACGACAAAGATAATATTACATAACTATTATTTTATTTAATTCATATTTAATCATATATAACACGATAAAAACGACAAACACGAAAACACGATAAATACATGCTCAATCGTGTCAATTTCGTGTGGATTTGTAAACACGAACACGACACGACACGACATCGTGTTTTTTAAACTTGACACGAACACGACACGAAAACGAATTCGAATTTTGATTTCGTCCCGATTTCGTTTCGTGTCGTGTATTTTTGTCGTGTCGTGTCATAAATTGACACCCCTAATCCAATGGTTCCAGTACAATCTTGTACGTTAATTGGAATTATATACCTAAAACAAAAAATAATTATGTCATTGTTAGTGTTGTTTTAAGATTGACAAAATTAATAGAAATAAAAATGTCTATACTTTATAACTGACTGAAATTCAGATTTTTTGCATTGTGCATTTGTACACTCGACAACCATAGTTTCGGAAATTCCCTCAGGGTTGGTATACGAATGATTGGTTTTGGGAACAGGGATAACTTTTTTTCCACATTTTTTGCATGCTTCATAATACCATGGTAGATTCTGCCTTATATTAACAATGGAAGCAACTAATAAAAACTTCATTTCCTGTATCATATAAAATGTAAAAATTATTAAAATAAATTATGCAAAAATAAAATGTAAAACATATAAAATAATGCAATATACCTTAATTGGTTCGGTGATCTCACAGATTGTTTTTAATGGAAAATTGCCCTTAAAGTCATCTGTATATGAAGAAGAGTAGCTTTGAAGTGTAGTTATGCTTTTTTCAGTTATACCGAAATTGTCATGACATTTCAACCTGTAATGTTTAATTTAGATTCATGAATATTAGGTTTTGTGTTTTTTTTAAGTTAAAATACATTATAAAAAAATAAAAAACAATTGGAAACTAACTTATTTTTAAACTCATTTATTTCATAAATGTCAGAATTTATGAACAATTTCGTTACTTCAAAATGACTTTTAGCTTCACCAAGACCTGTAAAAAATGTATATCCAATTATTAAAATTTATATAAAAACAGTAATTATAAACATCTATATATAAAGACTGAATACAAACCATTCCAAATGTTTAGCTTCAAAAACTGCATCACGATAACAACAAAATTAACAGTCGGGTTATTTTTTAGGTATTCTGAAATTTGATATGCTTGACTTCCAAAAATAGTAACCTTCAGATGTACAGAACTAAATAAACCATAAAATAGTATATTAATATTAATTTGTGATTAATTAAAGATAATAAATAATAAATAAATAATACAATATAATCTCACTCTAGGTTGCTAAGAGTGACTTTTATATAATGCTTGGATGGTACTGGATTTGAAGTTTCAAGAGGCCTAAATGACACGATATGTCCAATAACATCTACACAACAGATACCACAAAAAAATAAAAGTTTAGGATTAAATTCGTAATATTTAAATAATAAAATGTATAACCAAAAAAACAAATGATAAAAAATGATTTTATTAATATTTTATGACTAACCAAAGAATGTGTCTTTTGGGCATGTTTGTTCTATGATAGAATTAAAGTCAACAAACATAAATCCATTGACCGGACCCGAGAAATCATCACATTTTTTTACGATGCTTTTCCAATCCAAAGTTAACATCTGTTTATGACTTGTATAACTAAAACCATTAGTAACAGCAGCCATATTGGGTTTTATAACTATATAACTTTCATCTTCCTTTAAAAGATGACGAAATCTGGAGAAATTCTGATTGAAGACACGAGCTTGGTATTGTGTACCCTGTTTAAAAAAAATTAAAAATTATTATGTTCATGAAACATGTCTAATATTGAATGATGAATAAAAAATATATCAAATACAACAAACCTCCTCATCCATGATGATCATTTCAATGGAACAAACTTTATTATTTCTGACAAAGTTCCAAATTTTAAGCACCCGAACCTTGATATGCGATTTTTCATCTATCTGATCAATGTTATTTAGGTAAACCTTATTTCCTATTTCCATTTTCTGCAATAAATTTAATCATTATAGAATTGTAAGGAAAATTACAACCTTTTAAATTAACAGCAAATCAAAGTAAATGAAACAGCAAAACAAAAAAAACATATTGTAATAGTTAAAGCTTTGAGGTTGTATTGTTTGGGGTTAAAGATATTCGCATATTGGAGTCAAATGCAGTTCACGTGTAAAAGCAAAAATGTTCGCATTTGGTAATACAAATCAAAATTGGGTTTCACATATGAGGTTGTATGGATTGGGGTTAAAGATGCGAAGGTGATTATGGTTAATATTCATTTCGTAAATGTATTTAAAAAGTTACCTTTATTCATTTCGTATTTGGTGAGACAAACAACTCAAATGCGAATGAACTAAAAAAAAATGACTGGAACATGCGAAGAAAGAGGGTGAATGAAGAATGTGAATTTTACAGTAGAATGCGAATTGGGGAAGAAATCTAAGAATTTCGCATTTTTATTATACAAATTGATTGATTGATTGATTTGTCTTAATTGTTAATTGCGATATATGAAATACTTATCAAGTTAGGGGCAATATGGTCATTTTGAAGTAAAAGAAGCCTTGGTTATTAAATGAATCATACGAAGGATCTGTTATTTGATTTTGGAATTGGGGCGAAAATTAGCAACCTTTTAAATTAACAGCAAATCAAAGTAAATGAAACAGCAAAACAAAAAAAACATATTGTAATAGTTAAAGCTTTGAAGAACAATTTTTTTTAAAGAAAATAAAGTTCTCATTTTTATTACTAATTTCGTATTTTGTAATCATTTTCATTAACATTTACGTCTTTTAAACTGAAAAGGTAGAAGAAGAACATGATTAAGAAGAATTAGCAAAAGGAAGAAGAAGAACATCACTAATAAAATGAAAAATGATAGGAACTGGTAAATCAGACAATTAAGAGGTTAGAAATATTAGTAATGCTGATATTTTAATACACTAACCTGATATTATAATTTTTGAAGCGTTGCAGAATCAAGAAGAATGAAGAAGAATACGTTTGCAAATATTACTATGGAGCAGAATTCGTCTGGAGCAAAATGGTAAAATGAAAATAACCGTATGAATGCTATTTACGTTTGAATAAATAAGAATAAGAATTAAGAAGATTACGTTTGAAAAAGATAAATATTGCAGATTTTTAGGGATTTAATTTGCAATCAAAATAAACAAACTTTCAAAATTAATGCGTGTTTTTCGAATCTGAAGATTGATTAACATATTTGTTTGCAGATTTTTCCGGAATTATTGAATTTGGATTGTATGGCATTTACGTAAATATAGATGAATAAAATGAGCGGGAAAACTCTATTTTGGAGGTCTTATAGATTGACACGTGGCAGAGTTGTACTTATTTATTAGAATTAGGATATATATATATATATATATATATATATATATATATATATATATATATATATATATATACACTAGGAGCGTGCCCGCGCGATGCGGCGGCGGCGATTTATTTCATTCCGACGATTAGTTATGAGCGAAATTTAGTGTCATTTCGGTAGTCGTTAAATTGTTTCCTTTTGGTTTGTTTCATTCTAGAAATTTATTCCTTTCGGTGATCAGTTGTCTCCAGAAGGGCATCAAATAGTCATTCTTATCTAGTGGGTTACCTGCGCTATGCGGCGACGATAGTTAGTTTCATTTCGACAAACATTTTCCTAGCAACGCTTCATTTTCTTATCTCTATAGTTTTCGGACGGAGATTAACTTTCTTTTGGAATCATTAAGGGTGAGCATGGGTCAGGTTTTACCTAAAACTGAAGCCAACCCAATAAAATTGATTTTCAAAAAATAAATACCAAACCGAGAACCCAAACTGTTAACCGGGAGTATTTATGCTTCTAAATCGCGCCTCAGATATATACATTCATATGATTACACATAAAAAAAACATGGTGCCCAACCGTTGGGTTGGTTTGTCGGTTTTTAAAAATTTGAAACTATAACTGTCGGTTTGGCTTCAGTTTCGGTTTCGGGTTTTCGGTTTTGATTTCTTTGGTTTTGGTCGGTTTCCCAGTTTCGTGGTTCGGGTTTGCTCACCCCTTGGAATCATTTTATATTCTAAACAGTACACAAAATACCAATACATTTTATTTACCATTAAAACTTTTTTTATAATATATGGTATAGTTTTACGGTGAATAATAAAAGTTTCCTAACGAATAGTTTCATACACCGAGTGACACATGGTTTCATTTCGACGAATAATTTTTTGGGAAAATGACTTGTAAGGGTAATGATGTTTTACCCGTGTTCACATTATACCATTAACGTTTTTTTTAACACAAAATACCATTAAAATGTTTTTTCTGTACATACTTTACCATTGGTAACCGGATACAATAGGTATCCCGGTAATTTATTTATTAAAAAAAAAAACAAATTATTTGGAAAATACGTGGCTCACCCCTCTCCATTAAACACCCTCACCCTCAACACTCTCAATTAAACACCCCGTTGTGTAGGATTTTCTCAGTCGAAGTTGAGATCGATCATGGCTGGTCCATCTAATGCAAAAGGATCAACTTACATTCAAGTAGATGTTCATTACGATGGAATGTTTTCCCCCATTCCTCATCTTATATACTACCTGAATCAAAAAACGTCAATTACAGATGTCGATTTTGGTGGATTAAATTTCAAGGAGTTCATTCATGTTCTTGAGGATGTCACAAAGGGGAAGTGTCCTGTTGTCTACTACTGTCTTGGGCATAAGTCAATGCGTGATGGGTTGACACCACTGAAAAACGATGATGACTACAGGAGGTTTCTTGATGTTGCACATGGTAACGAGGGAAAGATTAATGTATATATTGATCACTACAACGATTCGGTGCTTGACTGGATAGAGGAAGAAAAGGAAGAAAAAAATGTTGATAGTGAAAGCTCTGATGAAGATAAAGACTCGGTCATGTCTGATGCTCTATCTGTTGATCATGAACCCGATGAAGAGGTAATACCATTGACTAAATCTGATGATCCCTTTCTTAACTATATTAGTGTTGTCCCTAGAGATGAGTTTGTTGATGAGGATGATGATTCAGATAATGGAACCAAAGAAGCCCCAATTTACCCTTTTCATGACTCAACTCAGAAATGGGATACAATGCAACCCATCCTTGGTATGAGGTTTTGTAACCCTCAAGAACTTAAACAGCTTGTCTCAAACTATGCAGTAGCAAACGGTTTTAACCTTTGGTATGAAAAAAATGATAAAACTAGGTTGTTAGTCAGGTGTTGTAAAACTAGTGAAGGAAAGGCAGCATGTCCTTTTAGACTATGGGCTACTTGGATGAGCAGTGAAAAGTCATTCCAAATTAAGTCCTTACGTAATGAGCATAACTGTGCTAGAACCTTCAAGTTTGGGTCAGTTGTTACTTACTCATGGATAGGGAAACATTTTGTTAATGATATTTTAGAAAATCCCAAATTGAGTTGCAGGGAAATGAGGGATAAAGTTGGGGAAATTTTCAATGTGAAGGTTAGTGTTGGACAATGCAGGAATGCAAAGAAGTTTGCACTTAATGAGATCGAAGGCAGTTTGAACACACATTATGAAAAATTATGGAGTTATGGAGCTGAGATATTAAGAGCTAATCCAGGGTCAACAGTGAAAATTGGGACGGATACAATGCCTGATTCCACAATTTATTTTTCTAGGATGTATGTTTGTATCAAAGGTGTAAAGGATGGTTGGATTGAAGGATGCAGGAGGGTTATAGGTGTAGATGGTTGCTTTTTAAAAGGTATTTGCAGAGGTGAGCTTCTTTCAGCTGTAGGTAGAGACGCTAACAACCATATTTACCCCATTGCTTGGGCAGTAGTTGCAGTTGAGAACAAAGAAACTTGGAAGTGGTTTCTAAACTTACTACTTAAGGACATTAACATAGGAAATGGGGCAGGATTAACCTTACTTTCTGACCAACACAAGGTATTTATCCTAACTATTTTTTAATTGGTTACCGTTTTATTTATCTTAATGTTATGTTTATCTTAATGTTATGTTTATGTTGCATGTTTAGGGTCTTATTGAGGCTGTTAAAGAAAGAGTACCAGATGCTGAGCATAGGCAATGTGCTAGGCACGTCTATGCTAATTTCAAGAAAAAATTTAAGGGTGCTGCATATAGGAAGCTGTTTTGGAGGGCTGCAAAGGCCACAACTGTGCAGAGGTTTGAAGGTTTAATGAAAGAGATTAGGGTGATTGATATACAAGCATATGATCACTTGATGGAAAGAGATCCAAAATCCTGGTCTAGGGCTTTTTTTGTATTGGACAGGTCTTGTGATGCCATTGAGAATGGTATTTGTGAATCTTTTAATGCTGCAATTGTGCATGCTAGGAAAAAGCCGATTATAACAATGTTAGAGGAAATTAGGAGGTTTGTGATGGATAGGATGTATTGTAAAAGATTGAAGGGGCAGAAATGGAATCTAGCCATATGTCCATCTATTAGAAAGAAAATAGTGGACAAGAGGAAACATCTAAGGTATATATACTTTATTTTATAGGTATTGGCATGTAATTCCCAAGTACTAATTTTATACTATATTCCTTTATTTTATAGGTATTGGTATGTAATTCCCAGTGGAGTGCAACAATTTGAGGTGAGGTCAGTACATGAGGTTTATGCTGTGTACTTGAACCAAAGAACATGTGCATGTAGAGGATGGCAACTAAGCGGTATACCATGTATACATGCCATGGCTGCTATTAGTTATCTAAATGAGAATGTGGAAGACTATGTGGCAACTTGGTTCACAACAGAAATGTTTGGAAATTGCTATAAGTATACAATTAATCCTTTAAATGGAAGTGAAATGTGGCCATCTTGGGAAGGTCAACCTATGTTGCCCCCGAAACGTAAAAGATTACCTGGCAGACCTAAAGTCAACAGGAAGAAGGCTGCTTCAGAAAAAGAAGGTCGTCATACTATTAGCAAGAAAGGGGCTATTACAAAATGCAGCATCTGTAGAGAACCAGGACACAACAAAATAACATGTCCATTGTCCAAAGAAGGTTTTTTTCATATCAAGTATCATTCATTTACCAAAAAAAAATATAAGTATTATCTATTAATGCATTATAAATTTTAATGTAGGGCCAAGTACTAAAGCCAAAAAGAAGAAGGGTAAACATGTTCCTGATGTTGAGGATGAGTCTGAATTTGAGATTGAAGAGATGGATGAAGTTGAAAATGAGTATGAATCTGAGATTGAAGAGCTGGCTGAAGATGGTGATGAACCTGATCAGGGACAAGTTGATGAACAAGTTGAACCTGCTGTTGAACCTGCTGTTGAAGCTTGCTGTTGTTGAACCTGATGAACAAGTTGAAGCTGTTGTTGAACCTGATCAGGAACAAGTTCATGAACCTGATCAGGACCAAGTTCATGGACCTGTTGTTGAGGAACCTGCTGCACAACCCGTTGTTGAAGTTGAACAAAGAGCACAACCATTGAAGAGGAAAAGGAAATACTCAGAGAGGATCACTAAAGTGCATTAAGAGGGTGGTCAACACCAAGGATGGATGTGGTTTAAGTGTGAATAAACCTGTTTACATGGAATGATTCCCTTTGATGTAAATCTGCACATTAAAAACTGTGCTTTTGTTTGTTTAAGATGAAATTACTATGCTTGTCTTTTGCTTAAAAAACCATGCTTGTCTTTTGATGTAAATATGCACATTAAAAACAGTGCTTTTGTTTGTTATTACCCTTTAAATATAATCTACATCGTTTCAATGTTGCTTTTACATATGATTCCTGTTTTGACCATTATGCCCTTCATATTATTTTTTACCATTATTCACATTAGATCATTATTCAAACACAAGATTCTGCATAGTTGTTTGT